CGATGGTGCTGCGGCGTAGGAGACAGTACCGGGTGGTCACGTGGAAGGAGTTGCATAGGGGCACCGCTTCATTTGTTACCGTCGCATCCACCACGTAACGCATCCCAGGACGTGTCTCTCGCAGTAGAATAGTCTGTTCAAACAATTTTTTTGTAAATTGCCAAAACGAAGGGCAATTTCAAAAGGCTAAATAGGGTTGTAAACAACAACTTTCCGCCCCTACAGAAAAGTGGGACCATGAGAGTAATTTGGTTTTTTAAGTAGTTGATCTTTAGTGTGAGGCACGCAGTTCATGCATAAGAAGTACACAATGGTGCCTGTAGCTCAATTCGCTCGTCATTAAATGTAGGAATAAGCAAATATCAAAGGAAACTATTCTCAAGAGGGAGCACACAAATAGGTAACACCCAGTCTAAATAAATACATGTCTTCAGTTACTAATATTATTCCCCACAAATTTTACGGCGCATACATTAGCAGTAAATCCGAAAGAGGTTTCATTTTGGCAAGGTTATAAAGTTACGCGCCCAAAAAGTCATCTTATTCTGTAGTAAACACAAATAGTAAATCCGTTCGCAACCATCAAAGCCACATAACAAGGAAGGGCAGTAACAAGGAGGGTTAACGTCGCTTACTCACTTGACTTTCAAAAGCTCTACAAGTGCGAGGGCCGAGACGCTGTTTAAGGGTGAGGACGTAGGAGATCTTGCGGTGAAGGATAGCATCCCCGGTGGTGGGCGTAGGCCATGGCTTGGGTGGCCACCGGCTCTGCTCCACATCGAAGGTACCTCGGTGGGCGCAGAAATTTGCGAAAAACTGGGAGTCAGTGAAAAGACAGGCGAAGAGGGCATCAACGGAGACATTAATATCAGTGTCCGCGTAGATACGCCCTGGATGCTTGTGGCCCGTCCCACAGCTCACTGGCTGCAACTGCTCCTCCTCATAGTCGTTGTCGATGGTGGAGGTGTTATCGTGGAGCTGCGTACCGTCCCTATGGTGCGTGACCTCCGCCGTCGTCAGTTCCTGCGGAGGCAGAGGAGTCCTGTTCGCCTTCCGTAGTAAACGACGACTCTCACCGGGCTCACGAGCCCTCTCCCTAAAAGTTGCCTTGATACCTGTTAAATACAGATGTAAAGCGGCTTTATTGTGTACCCACAATAACTAAATCATGTTTTGGCGCTGTTGTTCATGCGAAATACGGCCCCTCGTTCCCAAACCCATGGTACATTAAGTCAGTGTTATAAAAAGTGGTGTTTTTATGGGTTGTGGCTTAGTTAGGTTTGGTGTCATAACGAAAATTATGTTTAGTAGATCGTTGATTTTCGTCACCGATGTAAAACAATGTGGAGTAAACGAATCAGAGGTTATAATCCAACCAATCAATAGAATCCACTCAAAAGCCATCGATAACCAAAAGAAGGAGAAACTTTTAAATAACAACTCAACGGGAAGAGCTAACCAAGTAATTTTTATACAGAAGTCACTAGAATTTCACGAAAAATGAACTGGGTCTATAACTATTCAAAAACTGCGTTAAGTGCACTTTAAAGTCATATGAATTATGGTTAATTTGCAGAAATAGAAAAACACGCAACACTTCAGAAGACAATGATGACATAAAAGTTCATTTCAAAGACCAATGTGTTTCTTAATAGTGAAAATAATTCAAGTCGCACTAAAAGAACCAAGACGAGTAAACACAATAAAAAGACTGTAAACTAAGTTTGTGATTTGCACAAAAAAACAACTTGATAATCCCCTTTGCTTTAAAAACTATGAATTTGAGACGATTTTCTTCGAAAGTTAACGTCAGTTAATGTTACAACTTGTAAGAAGCATAATTCCCTAAAACACTGCACCAAAAATCGACTGACCGGTGTAATAAAAAGGTGGAGTAATAAAACTGCATGCTTTGTCAAAAACAGCAAAACAGAAGTAGCAAAGGGGCTCAGCTGGAGTGCAAACGAACCTCCACGGCTTCTATCCGCTAGATCATCGTCGCTGGTGGCGGTAGTGTCACTCTCACTCATCTCGTAAGTGGAGAAGCTGCGTGAGGCGAGGCCTACGTGGGCGGAGGAGCAGAGCTGAGGCACAAGGGCTCGTGGGCTCAAGGGCGCCTCGTCATCGGTGCTTGGGCGCTGAAGCCGTCGTGGTGGCATCTGCACGTTCGGGGAATCCGAACGCGGCGAGGGTAGGGTCGAACTCACGGGCCCTTTATTCCACACCGGAGAGTGAGCAACACGACGTCCTCGCTGCAAAGCAGAAGACCACTAATCTCAGCACATTTTGAGGGCATCAAAGTTACAAAATCTGCGGCATTTTATTGTAACTGTTGTGCATTGAATTAAGTTGAATATTGAATAGCTACCAAGTATCAAAAATATTAATAGTTTACATATGTTGGTTTGCCATTCGTTATATTCACCTGTCGATATAATTAATATTTTTTTGCAGCTACATTTCGGAAACCTTACACAAAAGGAGAAGCCAACAATATTTTTTCGGGACACTTAGGCATCAATGCATTTCGCAGTTACCTGCAAAAGCGACAATCTGGCAAACTATATCTTAATCAAGACACAAGAAATGAAACAGACATAGAAATCCCTTCAAAACGTTCGGCGTAACCAGGCAGAACGTACGAAATTAAAATCAGACCTAGATGCACTTCCAAACCCTTCTTTATTTGAGCCGCTATTTCTGAACGTGCTTACGTGAACAGCCTAGGCAGCAGCAGTACTCACATATAGCCATATCGTCAAGAGTAGCGGTTTATAAACAAACTCGCGAAAAACATTATGGTTTTTCGTGTGCACAGTTTGAAAAAAAATGCAACCACCTCCATTAACCAAATCAATAGTGCAGCATAAAGCCTCATCTTCACGAAAGCTAACGATACAACGCAGCCTGCAGCAAGCAACTGGCAACGCCGTGCAATTCTGACCTTTCAGCTGATGAAAATCTCTCCGTGAATGCGACCTTATTTTAAATGGGCACACTTGAGACGTCATGTGATACGACATGAAAAGTGACTGAGGCACCACGTTTATGCCTTCAACACAACACCGGATAAAGTAAGACGCAATTTCTTGAGCAATACGGTCGGACTCAAAGCGGGTCTTATCGCAATGGCAATGTTACCAATAATCACGCCTTAGGAGAAAAGATTGTTGGCTTTCACTCATCAAATAGTCATCCTCAAGAGATTGGAACCATGGAAAATCGCCATTCACAAGGCAGTAATTTCAATCCAGCTTCAACTTAGGTTAAAAGAAAGCAAAAATACTCACGAAGCCCCAATAATATTTCCACCTTATTGCAAATATGCATAATATTTGAGCATTACAGGTAAGGTTGATACCACTAACACGTTCACACAATCTGCACTTTTAAAGCTCATGTCGTCCAAGGCAGAGCATGAATGCTTTGACATGTAGTGAAGCCTATAACACAAAATGGTGCCTGTATTAACGAAGCTTAGTCCGTAAACTCACGTTCGTCAAGTGGGCATCATCGTCAAGGTCATCGCCATCTTCAAAGTCCAAAACAGCCAAACTCTCATCACCGTACACATCCTGCACTTGACAAAGCAATTCCTCCATATTTGCAACCTAAAGTAGGGGCACACGAACAGCTTAAAGCTCAAGAGAGAGGGAAAGAAGAGTACTTTACCTACTTAGACCGATAGCAAGAGCCCGAAACGAACTCGAGTGAATGAGAGAAGGAGGATCAGGTAAAAAGTAGTGAGCTTAAAGTCGACAACTTGTGGCGACTTGAAGAGTGGCCATGTTAAAGGGGAACGGGGAGTGAATCCACCAAATTGATACGAAGAACTATTAATCATTAAGATGAATATGTGTGATAAAAATACCTCTTTGCAAACACACACGGGTCAATTTTCTACGATAAAAGATCTGGAATCGAAACAGAAGCGGCACAATTACCAAAAGTTCATTCTGTCAAACCCACATTCAGTGATGCGAGGCCTTTTCTGACAACGCATTTATCAGACAAGCCTTCTTTAAAGTACCCATTTAGTAGTTGCGACTCTAACTTCTAGGATAGGTTTCAATTCTTGTCACGCATAGGACACCTGTGAATCCTAGGATAGTAGAAGGACGCAAAAAGTGTTAGCGAAGTTTTATCGAAATCCAAGTGTTAACTCTGGACTTTCTATGTGAACTAACCAGGCGACTTCGGTCATACAAAATTTGGCCAAAATTATGTTATCTTGTACAAAAAAATGCGACACATACCTCTTTAGACGCTTACAACTGCCGAGACCCGCAATACTTGCCCTGAATTGTACTAAAGTTAATTTGTGAAGACTAATAATGCTCGCAAATTTTAGAACATATGACCTCTTAGCCATAAACGCTAGCATGCGACCCAGGCATTCCAAAGTACATGATGATGTTTGATCCACTCTCTTCGAACCCATGATGCCGATGTCTAGGCGTATTGAAACAGATTAATACAATGCACAGATTCAGTAGTACAAGTGGATTTTAAGAAAGAAAAGTTCAAATTGGATTCACACAGGAGCATGAGCATTGTGGCAAATCACGTGACGCTGGCGCCTATGGGCGTTTTAGGGTGTAGAGAGAGGTCTATTTAGGGCTAATCGAAACATTTACTCTTAAAGGATAAGGAAAGACCGAAGACCGACAGTAGGATCTAATGTATTTAAGCAAAATTAAGTGTACTACAGTTTGATCAGGAAATAGTACAGAGGAAACCATCAGCAACCTAACTAGATAAACAACTCTGCTGCACGAATTTGACATTACCGACTGCAACCATGGTAGGCCAAGAGGACTCAAGGCATTTCATGGCGTGACAAAGAAGCGATGTCGAAGTCTACTGTAAATCGAGGAGATCATATCGTTGATGGGTAGTATTTGGAGACAAATGTGAAGGAGCCGAGTCATTTTTATGATAATATAAGGCAAATAATTCAGCAATCGTTACTTCTAATTTTAAGAAAGCACTGAAGGGAAGCCAAAGATAAGATGGGAGCGTGTTGAAATGGGAGTCAGGTAGTAAGCAAGCAAAGCGGATAAGGAAATATCGGAGCAGGTGAAAGACAAACAGTAATGAATCGAATAACCTTCCAACCATATGCGTGTACGAAACATACCTCACTTCCAGATGGTAAAAGACCCTATAGTTGAAAATAAGACAAAAACAAGTGTTAATTTGC